AGTGGTGCCCGCTCCCAGGAGCTGTGCTGTGGAAAGGGAGTGGTTGGAAAGGGCAGCATCAGGGAGGCTGTTCCCATGGCACGGGGAGGGAGGACAGTGCTGCTGGGGTGTGATGTTGGGGGGGCACCACCGTAGGGGATGGCCCGGGGTGGTCTGCAGAGCCCTGAGGGCTCTGAGTGGGAGAAGGGGTGTTTCCAGGTGTCCACAGCAGGACAATGAGGTGGCAAAGCTGCCTCCACTGGAAACACTGCATCCTTCCCTGGCTGAAAGATAGACCTTTGAAAGGGACACCTTGGACACTTGAAAGGGACACCTCGCACCTCAGTTTGTGCTCTGGGCCACCCTCCATCCCTCTACCTGCCAGGGTAGCAGAGGTACAGGGCTTTTGGGCTCTGCTTTTGGGGTAGCTGGTTAAAATGAGTGGCTGGTGTTCTCCCCAGGTAGGGAAGGTGAGACTCTCTGATCTAACGCTTTGGGAAAACATCCTGCTTTGCCTCTCAGCTGCTCTCCCCACACTCATATCCCCCATTTCTCCATGCCACCAAACCTCTCCAGTCCCTCCTAGCATGCTGTGCTTCCCTCCTCCTCCTCTCTCCAGGCTTCTCTGCATCCTCTGCTTTGCTCTGCTCTGTCACAGCCCCACTGCCTCCCCTCCCAGAGCTGCTCCACCACATTCCCTCACCTGCAAGGTCTGGCCTCCTGTGCTGCATCAATCCTGCTCCCCCAGACAGTGCTGATGTCTGAAGACAAGGGAGAACCAAACCAGGCTGTGGATGGTTGCAGATGGTGGCATAAAAACTGTGCTTGGGGCTGGCTCTCAGCCTCTGCTTGAAGCCACCTGGCTTGGAGTGGGCAAGGGAACCTCTGCAGGGCTCCTGCAGGAGAGGGAAGTGCCTGCTTTTGTCTCATCCCTCACAGTGCTCCAGAGCACTGCTGCAATCCCCCACGAAGAGCAATAATGTCACCAGAGGAGCCCTTGCAAACGGCTGCAACAGGATGTGTTCCTGCCCTGGGAGGGGATAGAGAGAGAGGAATAATTAGCAGCAGCACCAATATGTGCCTCTTCCCGGAGGAACCAGCCTGGCACAGTCTCCTTCACAAAGAGCAGAGGTGCCCTGGATGGCAGGAGGTGGGAACAGCCATGAGAGCAGCGCCATGGCTCCAGACAGCCTCCCCTCCTCCAGCCAGAGAGAGAGGGCCCAGGGTGCATCCTGGTGTAAAACCCCAGCCGTGCCCCCTTTTCCTCTGCAAAAATCAAGGGTATCCCACTTTTCCTACCCTGGATTCATCCCTAAGCAATGTGCTGAGGAGAGCACCGGGAGGCACCTGACAAGGGGATGGATGCCAGAGCAGTGCAAAGCTGTAGGAAGGGGGCAGCCAGAAGGCTGTGAGGATGCCCAGCCAATCCCACGGCCCTCCTGGCTGGGGATTGCAGCCTTCTGACTTGGAATGAGGATAACACAGGATGGGCCAGCCCTGGGAGCCGGCAAAGCTCAGGAAAACACGGCGGCTGCACAGGCACAGCTTCGCTCTGAACAGCCAGGATGCTGTGATGCTGGAGAGGGCACGGCCATCCTCTTCATCACCTGGGAACTTTGACAGATTTCAGGGGTTCGGAGGCACAAAACTGCATTTCTGGGGTGGAGAAGGGGTCTGAAATCCCGAGTACCCTTTGTAGGGTGATGTGGACACCTCACCACGCCACAGGGCATCCAAGGTCAGCACTTTGTGGGCAAAATTTCCACCGGAGAAAGATTGCTGCCTGTGTGCGGTGGCACATCAGAGTCTGAGCCACCAGCATGTGCTGAGAATTAGGCCTTAGGGTCGTGTTTGCCCTAAATCACAGCTATTCAGGAATTACACCCTGCCCCGTTCCCGGGCTCTCAAAGCAGAGCTCATGGCACATAATACTCCCTCCAGCAGCTCCAGTGCCAACATCCCACTGCAAACGAGGGGACAATGCTGGAAAAAGGCTTTAGTGCCAGCAACAGACAATGGGAAAACCAGAATAAAAGCCCCTGAACACAGCGTTCCTGCTTGATCCTGCCATTTCCAAGCTGCCGCTGGCACGAGGAAATCGCCAGGGCTTTGTTCGCTGCAGAGGTGGGTTTTATTTCAGTCCTGCCAGTCCCTTCTGTGGGCTCAGCAAAGCACCTTGTGCCAGAGGAAGAAGGGATGGCACCCATCCACTGCCTGCCCTTGGAGCCCAAGGCATTTCTGGAAGAGGAAATGATGTCCAGTAGGAAAGCTGGTGAGAAAGAGATGGCAATATTTCCTCTTGGACAGAAGTGGAAAACGACGTAACACGACCTCAAACTGACCAAGATGTTGTGTTGTCCTGAGAGGAAGACCTGATGGATCATCCTGGGCTCGGGCTCTGTTCTCTGCTTTGACTTGCACAGAGCAGAGATGAAAACCAAGCTGTCGTGCCTCTGGTGTCATCTCTTGCTTTCCAGCTGCAGCTGGGAGAGAGAACCGAGGCGGCTCTGCGGGAAATAGGACACTTGGTCGGTGGCCAGCCCCGAGGATGACCCCACAGACATGCCCTGCCAAGCTCTGCTCTCGTGCTGCCCCGTGCCTGTGCCTTGTCCCCTGTGATGCTTTGAGCTCCTGCTTTTGTCCCCGCAGTGTGAGCGTGGCTGTGCTCGTTGGTGGTGTGTGAGCGTGCTGGCACGTCCCGCCGGGCTGTGTCCGTGCCTCTGTGTTGTGCTGGGATGCACAGCCCCTCTGCACGCCTGTACCTGGGCTGCCACGAGCCAGGTGGCTCCAAGCTCTGCCTCAGGATCACGTGTGAGGCCAGTGGGCTCCGGGAAGGCTTGGGATAAGGCTGGAGAAACTAGTGAGCGATGAGCAGCGGTGGCCCAGCAGCCTCAGGGAGGCTGTAGCAGGACCAGGAGAGGCCAAGGGACTCCTGAAGGCAGTGGGGACCAGGGGGATGCTCTGGGACTCGGGCTGGCAGAGGGTCAGGGGTCCAGGAGGATCCTGTGGGGGGGTGTGGAGGTGGGGGCTGTGCACTGATGTGACCCTCTCGTCCTTTTTCTGCTCCTCATTAGAGTCCCCTGAGCGGAGCAGGCTGTGAAGGGGGTCTGCGCTGAGGTATGTCCCTATGGCTTCTGCCAGGATATCACAGCTTCCGTGTGTGCCAGGGGATGGGATACAGGAGGTGGCTCCCAGCATGGGGGCCAGAGCCCCTGCAGGAACCAGGGGAAACATCTGGGGTGCCTCAGCCCCCAGAGGAGCTGAGAATTTGGGATGCAGTCACTGGGGGCTGTTTTAGGGCAAGATATGCTCACACCCTGGTTTGCTGCTAACTTTGCCCCTTCTTCCATTCCCGTGTCACTCGTAACCCTTGTCAAGCATTCCCAGCATTGTGTGGAGCCTTCTCCTGCAGAGTCCTTCCCTGAATCCTGGGGTTGCCTGTGTGTGAAAGCTGTGCCAGGGTGACTGCACTGTCCCCCACTTCTCTTCATGGGGACATCTGTGTCTGAGGGTCCCAAACTGGAGGCAGGAGGGAGTGTTGATGAGGGCAGAACCCCCAGCATGGTGCTCTGGTTTCCTTCTTCCCAGGGCTGAGGCAGTGCCACTGGGTCTTTTTTTTTAGGAGAAGGGAACTGCGTGTACCAGTGTGTGTCTGGTGGGAAGGGGGATGCCCTGTGTGCCTCAGGTCCCAGAGCTCCTCAGCAGCTCCCTCTGTCAGTCTTTATCAGTGAGGTAGTGAACTCCTGGGTGGAGAGATGGAGAGGACTTCTGGGAACCACAAGGGACATCTACAAGTCTCAAGGTCACGAACAGCCCCCCCTCTCACTCCAGCATCAGCACCAGGCTTGATCTGCCCACAGGTGGTTGTGGCAGCAGGCAGTGATGTGTCCCAGGCAGCAGCAGGGCACTGTGTTGTGTCCCAAACTGGGGGAGAAGTCAAGGAATGGCTTCTGTCTGGCATGGCTCTTGGAGGGACACACTTCTGGATGGAAATGCCAAGTTTTGGCTTCTGAAAACTTGTGGCATGTGTCAAGGACACATGGCCAAGGCTCGAGAAGACCTTGTAGTGCCTGGGCTGGGGGGGTGGCTGGTATGTGAGGGCACCAGACCGTGGGCTGGTGTAACTGGTGGTCAGCGTCCTGTGTGTGCCAGGAGCAGGGAGCTACTGGTGCCCTCACATACCAGGCTCCCCCAGGGGCAGGTGTTTGGTGCACAGAGAGACTTGGGGACAGGGTCTCACAGCATGTCCAGCCTCTCTGGGGGGGGACATGGGTTTGCCCACGTGTGCTTTGCTGCGCTCAGGGATTTCAGACTCCGCAGGAGACCAGAAGATGCCTGAGGACTTTTGGCCGGGATTGTGGCTCCTGCTGATGGGTGCCTGGGGAGGCTGGCAGGTGGCCTGCCATTACTGATGCCAGCAGGGCAGGGCTGCCCAAGGATCCTGCTCAGGAAACACGGTTGTGCCTCGGGGTGGTGAAGAGCTGGGCTGTGTTTAGGGCAGTTCCGTCTTTGCACGGTGAAGCCATTGGTGGTGCCCAAAGGTGCTGGACCAAGGGAGTTCTTGGAGCCTTGCAGGGTCCAGGTGGTGCCCACAGCTGTGGGATCACAGGTCTGGGGGCAGCGTGTCCCCTGCTGTGCCAATCCAGGCTGTGGAGCACCTCCTGTGCCATCCTTGCCTCCAAGGGGGTGGGCTTGGTGAGCTCTGCCCTGCGCTCTGCCCCCCACTTCTCTGCATGGACCTGCTGCAGGGTGGTCCTTTGTCCAGGGGGAGCTGGGGCTGTCACCTTGGATGGGAGCCTTGGGTTCCCCTCCCAGCTCTGCTTTGCTCCTGGGCTGTCCATGGGCCCAGCTCCGTGGGTGTCTGTGGGTCCAGCTCCGTGGGTGTCTGTGGGTCCAGCCGTTCCCTCCCACCGCTGGAGGGTGAGGGCAGGACGGAGACCCCCAGTCTGTGCTGCTCATCCCTGTGCCCCGTCCCGGCACCCCGGGGGTGTGTAACGATGCTCTCCCTTCCCTCCCCGCAGATCTCCGGCCTCTGCCCGATGTAGCCATGACTGGGACCTGCACCCGGGAGTGCACGGAGTTCGGCCACTCCGACACCTGCTGGATGCCCGGCCAGTCCTCCCCCAGCCGCAGGCCCAAGAACGCCCTCAAACTCTCCACTTTTGTGCCTTACCAAGACAGAGGGAGTCAAGAGCAAGTCGGGAATGGCAGCCCCAGACTCTCAGAAGAGCGCAGCACCAAAATGGCCAACCTCCGCCTGCTCCCCACGTACAGTGCCTTCTCCAATAGTAGCCATGAGCCCTGCAAGGACTCTCCCATGGAGGAAATTCCTCTCACCCAGACCTCGGACTTCCAGCCAGCCACCACCCCCTCGGCGCAGACCACCAAGAGGGAGATCTACCTGTGAGGCTGGGCGTGAGGGGCAGGGAGCAGCCGCGCTTCTGAGGCCAGTGCCCAGAGGAACGTTTTAAACCTTCGATGCTTTATGGCTCCGGCCGGTCCTCCAGGCAGTGGGCTCTGCGGAGAGCAGGGCGGGGCGAGGCAGGGATGCGAGGAGCGCCTTTTTAACCCGCTGTTTCCCGGGGCTGGGGGTGGGTGGGAAGGCTGAAAAGCATCTGAAACCCGATTCCCGAGCACTTGCGGGTGCATGTCTCCGAACTGCTGCGTCGCCGGGGAGGGCTGGGCAGGCTCCTGGTGCGGAGGGCACGGCTGGGGAGAAGGGCTTACGTACCAAAGGTCCACGCAGAGCTGGTGGAGTTCCTGGGGCATAGGACGAGGGGTGTCCCCGCACACGGGGAGCGAGCTGCCTGTCTCTTTGCTGTAGACTCCTGTAAATACTTAGGAATGACATTCAAGTCCTGCCTGATCGAAACTTTTTATTGTCCTTGAAACAAAAAAAAAGACGTTTAAACAAAAACAAACAAACAAACAAAACACACATAAAAAAAAGAGGAAAAGCAAAACAAAAACAAAAAAAAAAAAAGGAAAAAGAAAAACCACAGGGAGCAAGTTCCAGCTTGGAATGGTTTGCTGCGTGGAAGAGCCCCTGGGAACGCAGCGTCCGGCCCGCACTCATGTTCTATATTGTAAATAGAGATGTGACCAGTCCCTGAAACAACAGCTGGGGAGCTGGAGGAGAGGGGCAGCATCCCTGCTGGACTGTAGGGACTTTGCTATTTTTCAGCCTGGATCTCTTTCTGAACGTTGTCACTGTGCCCACAAGCTGCAGGGTCCCTAGGGACTGCCCGGTGCCATAGGTGGGGTCTGCTTTTGGGGGGTGGGGGGTTCCCTGGTGGGGGGTTCCCTGGCGCCTGGCGGGTGGAGGAGGGATGGGGAAGCCCCCAGTGAAGGGACCGGCTGGGTCCGGGGAGGGGATGTCCCAGTGCAGGGACCGGCTGGGTCCGGAGAAGCCCTCAGTCCCACTCTGCTGGCAGGGAGGTCGTCACCGGCTGTGGTGTCTCAGCCCATCCCCTCGTGCCTCCTCGGGGCAGGGGATGCCCGTGAGGCGGCTGTGCCATGCCCTGGACCTCCGTCCCACCCGCCTGTAAAGCCACCATTGCCTTTGTGAGGAGGAGCTTTGTCTCAGGGTCACACCGGGGGCCACCGAGCCCCTGCCCACTGGACTCCCGCTGCCCTTAGGCCACAGGGCCACTCTCACGGGGTCCAGCTTTCTCTTCCATTGTCAAAGGTCCACCGGTCTCCCCGGCAGGTCCCCGCTGCCCTGGCATCCTCAGCTCCCTTGCAGGGCACCCAGCCAGGGCAACCCTGCGTGGGCAGCGGGGAGAGGACCCCCTGCCCCTCAAGGGACTCCCCAGAGGGGCCGCCTGGGCACTCTCTGCTCCCTTGGGAGCTGGGGCATGGTCCTGTTTTGGGGCGCTCCACGTGCCCCCCTGGCAGATGGGGTCCGGGCGACTCTCGCCTCATTCCCGGGTAGCCCTTCCCGGCCCTCCCCCGCCGGGGCGCGGGGAGGGGCTGTGCTGCACCGTAGTTCTTCCCGTACTCGCGCGTCTTCATCTCTGGCATCTTCCTTAGGGAGCGGGGCCAGCGGTAGCTGCGGGATGGTTCCCCCCGTGGTGGCTCATCCTCGGACCGCGCGGTCCGTCACCGCGGGGCTCCGCCGGCACAGGGACACCCCCGGGGCTGCGGGTCAGGGACTGCCCTGCCACAGCTGTAGTGCCTGTCGGGGTGCAGCGCGCCAGGGCCCCTCTGCCCAGCCTCCTCCCTCCCTCCAGCATCCTTCTCTGAGCAGCTCCTCTCCTTCCGCGGTGGCAGGACGCGGCCAGCTCGCGGGTGCGGCTCCCGCTGGCCTGAGGGGGCACGGTGCGAGCCGAGCCCGGGTGGCAAAGGAAGGGCGGCAGAAGGCGCCTGTTCGCCCCCGTTCCCTCGTGCCCCGGCCCTGCCTTCCCCGGGCGGCACCGTGCCACGCACCGCCCGCGGCCCCGGCACCCGGGGTGCCCCCCGGAGGAGGCAGGACCCTCCTCCCGGCCTCCTGCTGCTCCTGCCCACCGGCCGGGCGTCCCTCCTGTCGGGCGCGATGCTCCCGGTGGACCAGCCCGCCCGTCCGGGCATCCCTGCTCTCCCCTCGCCCGCGGGGGGCCCGCGTTCCCCTGGTCTGGCTGCCTGAGCAGGTCCCGCTCCTGAACTTGTTTTTATTGTAGCTCTGTAGTTTCAGGGCCAAACTGGGCAGAATGTGCAATTTGGCCGTGCTGGCCAGGATCTCTGACCCCGCTGCCGACCCGGCTGCTCACGCCTCCCCTGGGCTCAGGCAGTGGCAGTGTCCAGTGCCCCTCGTGGGGACCCCCTGGGACAGCGGTGTGGCCCCATCTGAGGGGTGCTTGTCCAAGACCAACTTTATCCTGGCCCCTCAACTGCGGGTGGGTTCCCTGCCTTGTGCCCGGGGTCTCCAGAGGGCCCTTGAGGCTGGAAGCCCCGTGGCTGGAGGTGCTGTCCTTGTCTCCTGGAGCACATGGCGATGTCCTCAGTGCGAGCACGGTGCGAGGGGAGGAGTGCAGAGGGGGTCCCCGAGGGGTGGGTGTGAGCACGGGTGCCATGGGGAGGGAGGGTTGGGGGGATGAGTCTCGTGGGGGGGTGCACAGAGGGATGGTGGGGCCGGGGGTTTGGAGGGCAGCACAGTGGGGAGAGGGCACGGGGGGCTGGGGGTGGAGAGGGGCTGGGGGGCTGGGGGGAGCATGGAGGGGAGGGTGGGTGTGTGGGGAAGAACAGAGGGGGCAGCGGGACTGGGTCCTCGGTGGGGTGCCAGAGGGGTAGGAGGCTCTGTGGGGTGCAGCAGGGATGGGGCCCCGGGGAGGAGAAGGCCCTGGGAGAGGGGGTGCTGGGGATTTGTCCCGGGGTGAAGTTGCCAGTGTCACTGGGGATCGGTCCTGGGGGAGGGTGTAGAAGAGGTGCTGTCGGAAAGAAGCTCATTTGCACAATTATAAGCCAGAAGGATAAAGCCTCTGTGCACGTGGGGAGGGGGAAGCTCCCCACGGGCTCCAGTCTAGACAAGCACAGGGAAGAGGAGGGGGTTGGACGCCTCTGAGGAGGGTTCACTGTATCTCACACTGCACTAGGACAAGCCAGGGGTAAAACCAAAGGTGGGAGCCAGGGAGCAGGCGGGCTGCGTGGGAAGGATCTAAGCGACCCCTTTGTAGCTCTTCAGTGTTGGTTCTATTTATACGAGATTTCATTTCCTTGCTTGTGATGCCTTGTTTTTTGTACAGTTTTATGTACATGCAGGTGTAGCTTTTCTAAAGGAGAAATCCTACGGCAGAGTAAAAGTACCCAACTATTTTTCAGATGGTGACCTATGTCTAAGGCGACGCCTCTTGCTAAGGTTGTATTGCTCTCAATGTGTGATGCATTTCCCTGTGCGGGGAAGGCTTTGGGCCTTGGGCTTGGTTTTCCCCGGGCGCTGTGAGCACAATTGATTCCCTTGTAACTCTTTCTGTTCGGAGCAGTGAGCATGACACCGTCGTGATCCCCTTTCCGTTCTCTCTCCTGTTCTGTTTGTTTGCTGAGCTGTCAGATGACCAACTCCATTGTAATTAGCCCTTCCTAAAGCTTTACAATAAAAGTGTGAAAACCCGGCTGCCTGTGCCTGGCTGGTTCTTCCCCTGTCACATCCTTACACGGAGGCTCTGGAGAGCCTTGGATTTACCTGCCTTCCCTCAGGTGCACAGAGCTCTGGGGTGGCTGCTCTCGTCTCCCCACTCCTGTTTTCCAGTTTAAGCATATTTCTGCACAGATATGAGTAAGATAACCCCCCAAAGCAGTTTGCCACAAACCAGTCTCCTTTAAGGCCAGGTTGGATGGGACTTGGACAACCTGGTCTAGTGGAAGCTGTCCCTGCCCATGGCAGGGGGTAGAACTTTCATGTCCCTTCCACCCCAGGCTATTCTATGATTTAAAACCAAAATGTTTCCATGAAAAGACATCTTCAGTCCCAAGGCTGCCTGCACCTGTCACCAGCTAAGGTGGGAACCATGGGAAGTCACATCAAGTGCTCCAGATTCCCTCCAACCTCCATCACTGCTCCTTGGAGCCCTGATCCATTTCCCACCGTTTCACCATCTCCTTTACCAAGCATGGCTGATGGTTTTTAGGTACTTTGGACCCTTTGGAAACAGCTGGGCCACTTCAAACGCGGGCACATTTGTGGCTGCTTCCCACCACAGCTGCAGGGAGCTCTCTCAGCCGTGGCTGTGGTGTTTCCCTGGTTGCCTTCACACAGGGCTAGGCAGGATCAGGAGCGGTACAGGGGGGGTTCTTGGCTCAGAGTAGAGTTGTTGCCCTCGTTAGTGGGGTTACATGTGGGTGCTGGGCTCACACACAGCATTGCAGCTCTCTCTGCTGAGCTGTGGGCACTGGACTCGTCTGGTTGTGCCACCAGGCAAGACTCAACCCAAGGTAAGACTCAATCCAAGCTTGGAAGACCCCAGCAAGTGTCCCTGGGAAGAAAGGAAGAGTTCCCACATGAAGCCCATCCTCCCCTCCTCTGTGTAGAGACTCCCTTTCTACCATCTCCTTCTTCCCAGGCTCTCCTCTGGGCCACGAAGAGTGGGACTGATGCCCCCACTCCTGAGGGATCACTGCTCCTGGGTGAGGGGTGGGGGGCTCTCAGCTGCCCCTCAGGGCAGGCACACTCCAGCTGGGCAGGGATGTGTCTCCAGGGATCCTGGGGAACCGAGCGGCCTTTGCTGCCTGCTGGTGCCCCATTCCAGGGAAAGAGGATCCACATGTTGAGGATGGTGTCAGGTTCCCACAGAGGGGCAAGTCAGAGTTGTCAGCAACCACCTGCCCTCAGGAGAGACCACCAAACGGTGTCTTCCTAAGCAAAGACACAGTCCCAGGATCTCCCTGTCCCTCCTGAACATTCCTGGCCTTGTGCCATGCCCTACAGTTGCTCCTCATGCTCCCTCCTCCTCCCCACTTATCCCAGGATGTGCTCCCTCTCCATGTCCCCCGTCTGTGACTCCTTCCCCTCTCTGCTGTACCTTTCTCTGCCCATCCCACCCGTTCCCTCCTTGCCTCTCCTCCCCTATTCCATTGCTCTCCCCTCACCCCACCCCAGTACATCAAGCCTTCCCTCTCCTCCAGCACAGCCCTGAGCCTCCCATGCAGCCAGCTCTGTGCTGGGCTGGAAACCCTCTGGTTTCCATGGCAGCACACATCAATTACGGGGTGGGAAAGGGCCTCGAGGATGCGGAGAAGGAGGAGGAGGATGTTGCAGCTTGGGGCTTGGACACAGGGGCTTCCTGGGCAGCACTGGCCTCGGGATGGGTTCTGGTGCCCACTGAGCCCTGCAGGTGGATGTGGAAGGGGTATCCTCCACCCCAGGATTGTCCCACCTGCCTGGGCTCCATGAGCAGCTGCAATGCAGTGGGGTGACGAGGCCTCGGTGCCCCCGCTGAGGCCACTGATCCCTGGAGATTTGGGAATCATTTCTAGCT